CTGGGGGGGTGGCGAGCCGGGGGTGGAGAGACGGGGAACCGACGGGAGGGGGGGGAAGCTTACCTGCTTCTTCCTCCTCCGCCTGCTGAGTTCCTCCCCCCCCCCCCCCAAGTTTCGCGGGTCTTTTCTCTTGTTTAATCTAATATCAGACTACTATATCTAACTAGCTAGCTGCCTTGGGGTTTCCGTGATCTGAGTATCGCCATACAAAAACTGGCTACTCGGTGGGTAATCTTGGGATTTCTACCAGATAGAAGGAACTCGAGTCTAGCTTTTTCGGAGAGGCCCAGAATTTGTTCAGACAGCCGCGTGATGATTTTATTACGCGCCACCTGATAATACGGACATCTAAAAAAATGTGCTCTGTAGTCTCAACCTCCCTTAATGGGCAGGTACAAAACCTTTCTGTGAAAGGAATATTCTCATCACATTCAGAGGTACTAATCCTCTGAATCCCAGAGCCAGGAGGCCACATCAAGGGAAGGCCAGTTGTTGGCCCCTGTGAGAGACAGGATGCTGGACCAAAGGGACCACTGGTCTGATCCAGCAGGGCTAATGTTCTAAGACTGATTAATGGGTCTGACTCCCAGAATTAGGAGGCAGCATCAGGGGAAGGCCTCAGTCTCTATATCCTGCTGTTGGCCCTCCAGAGGAACTGGTTGGCCACTATGTGAGGCAGGATGGCCACTGTGTGAGACAGGATGCTGGACTAGATGGACCCTCCCTGGTCTGATCCAGCAGGGCTCTTCTGATGTTCTTATCAGGGGAAGGCCTCGGCCTCTCTGCCCCATTGTTGGCCCTCCAGAAGAACTGGTTGGCCCCTGTGTGAGACGGGATGCTGGACTAGATGGACCCCCACTGGTCTGATCCAGCAGGACTCTTCTTAGGTTCTTATCAGGGGAAGGCCTTGGCCTCTCTGCCCTGTTGTTGGCCCTCCAGAGGAACTGGTTGGCCCCTGTGTGAGACAGGATGCTGGACTAGATGGACCACTGGTCTGCTTACCTGTTTAATGTTAACCAAAAGAAATCAGCAAATAAGCAGTCAGAAGAAGGTTTTCTTCAGTAGGTTGGGTTTTTTTGCACAAAAGTGGCTTTTAAAAAGAGTTCAGAGTGGAACAGCTGTGCTTTTGTTGAGTCCGTACCTTCAAAAAGACTCCAATGACAGCCAGACCGTTAGCCTCCATGACTGCTTCTTCGAAACTCGCAAACTTGCAGGAATTCCAGTGTACTAAATGCAGCTGAAATAAAACGGGATCTGTGCTTGAGACAGAAATGTAACCAGAACTGTATTTTCTTCAAGAGGCATCAAAATGACCTGGGTTTGACTCACAGACAGTGTTCCCTCTAAGCTGTGGAGTCTTGTGAGCAGAAACTCTACTTTGTGAGCCACTGACATTAAAGTTGTGAGCAATTGATTTGGTTGCTGCATAAATTAGTTTGCTCTGGAGCCGTCCTTCCTGAGCTGAGACAAAAATGTGTGAGCTAAAAATCAGTGAGCTCACACTAACTCAGCTTAGAGGGAACCCTGCTCACAGAGACCAGATGATGGGCTTTTGTGGCTGACCAAACATAGTTCACAAAAAGGAGAATGTGGCCATGTAGCTACTGGGTCAAATAGCCACATCTCTGGCCTTGTCCACGTCTCAACTAAAGAGATGTGAAGCCTAGACAGGCAGTTCCTAGGAAGAAGACCCACTACAGCTAATTCATTTGCGAATCTTCCTTAGCAGGGGCCACTTCCGCGAGACACTCTAGCACTCAGCGTGTGAGAACATCAAGGAGCCAAACCTCCATGTCCAGAAGCAGTCAGCCTCTGAATCCCAGCGCCAAGAGGCAATATCAGAGGAAGGTCTCGGCCTCTCTATGCCCTGTTGTTGGCCACCGTGTGAGGCAAAACGCTGTACTAGATGGACCACCGGTCTGATCCAGCAGAGCTCTTCCCATGTTAGGACATGTTACATGGGAGTTCTGAGACTGGTGGAGTTAATGCCCAGTCTACGCCAGCTAATTTCAGATCTACACTCTGCCTCAAAGCTCACTGGCAACACAATCTTATTCAGAGTCAGTGGCTTAAACCAGGGGTGTCAGACATGCGGCCCGGGGGCTGGATGAGGCCCCCAGAGGGCTTCTATCGGGCCCGCAGTGGAACTGGCTGTCTTCTGCTGCTTCTTCCAGTTCTGCTGCTGCTGCATCATCGTAGGTTTGCAGCTTACAGATACACACCTGAACAGCATACTCAAGATTGCAAACAGCCCAGACATTTTGATGCAATAATTCAAAGCAAGAGGTGTCAGTTATCGGACGCTGTTATCAGACACAGTCTTATTTATGTCAGATCTGGCCCTCATAACAAATGAATTCGACACCCGTGACTGCCAATCAAAAAGTCTGCTCAAGCATAAACCGCCGGTCCCGATGCCCTGAGTGCATTCGCCAGTAGCAATTTTTATTCCTCCTTTCTCACTTTCATTAAGTTCATCGAAGAAGTCTTTGCAGGGTGTGCTGGGACCAGACCCTCCGCTATCGATTAGCCACTTTTTCTCTTTTGATTCAGCATCATCACAAAAAAGGCCTTTCTGGTCAATTAGTAAAAAAACCTTTTCCTTTGTATGCTGACTTAGGACCATTAGGACAGGGGGAGGGGGTGTTTAGACCTTTTCGTAACCCAAATCACCCCCTTTAAGTGAAACGGGACTAGGGAGAGAGGGAGGGAGGGAGAGGGAGAGAGAGGGAGGGAAGAGGGAGAGAGAGAGGGAGAGAGGGAGAGGAAGGGAGAGAAGGAGAGGGAGGGAGAGAAAGAAGGAGGGAGAGAGAGAAGGAGGGAGAGAGAGAAGGAGGGAGAGGGAGGGAGAGATGGAGAGAGGGAGGGAGAGAGGAGAGAGGGGGAGAGAGGGGGGGAATAGGGAGGGAATAGGGAGGGGGAGAGAGGGAGGGGGAGAGAGAGAGGGGGAGAGAGAGAGGAGGAGAGAGGGGGAGGGGGAGAGAGAGGGAGAGGGAGAGACACAGGTACCAGCATCTTTCCCTTGTGGGGTTAACTGCAGCTGGTGAGGAGGGAACAGACTTAAAAGAACCAACCGTCACCCCATCCTAACTCCACTGGGCCCACAGCTACAGTTCAGGAAAGGAAAATATCGGGAGACCCAGCGGCCATCCTCCCCGTCCGGGTAGTTGGGCTACCATAACCACCCCTTGTATCCTCCTTCTCAGGAGACCCAGCGGCCATCCTCCCCGTACGGGTAGTTGGGCTACCATAACCACCCCTTGTATCCTCCTTCTCACCTCTGCTGGGAAGACTTTACAGTCGACTGTGTGTTCGGAGCCCCATTCGTTTATGGCCCCCCAGTGAAAGTGGAACTGCTTCAGCCTGTAGTTGTTCTCCAAGGGGCCTCCCGTAATATCTTTCACAAAAAGAGAAAAGGTGTTAGGAGACGGATGCTTAGGAACAGACCACCGAATGAAAGCGATGCACTGAAATGACACTGGAAGTAGCGGGGCTGGAACCGTCACCGTTCTAGCCTTCGAGGACACCCAGCGCCCAAAGGGCGGGTGGGCGGGAAGCCGAGATGGAAGCAGGTTGGTAGAAGAACAGACAGACGTGGCTGAAAGCGACGGGCAGGTGTGAAACGGCAGCACTGCAGAGATGGGAAACGGCTAAGGGATGCCAGCCTCCAGGCGGGACCTGGGGATCCCCCGGAATTCCAGCTCATCTCCAGACTACAGAGACCAGCTCCCCTGGAGAAAACAGATGCTTTGGAGGGTGGATTGTATGACGCTGTACCCCACTGAGGTCCCTGCCCTCCCCAGGCGCCATTCCCAAATCTCCAGGAATTTCTCAGCCTGGATCTGGCAACCCTGTCCCCCCACCCCCTGCTTGTGGCCAGGGAGTGTAAGAACAGCAAGTCTCTTGTATCCACCTCCTCGTAAACAAAACACTTTAGGAGGAGAGCAACGACAGCGACTCTTGCAAAATCCCGGCACAAAGATAGAGCGGGTCTACTCTCCCTCCACAGGCAAGGGCCTCTGAACTGGCTCACCGGGATATTACAGGGTGCTTACAACCACAACACCCAAACATAGACTCTGCTCTGGTCCTGTGACCAGCCAGCAAAGCTTCTCGAATCACGACAAACTTCAGTGACAGCAAAAGCCGGAGCTATTCTCAGAGGTCCTCATTGCAGGAATTATATTCACGTGGCCCACCAGAGGCCCGCTGGTAACAACAACGTTCAGGCCCAGCTGTGATATTTTAAATCCAAATACCAAGAGCTTCATAGCCATTAATTTCATACACGGTAGCGTTCCTACAGCTTCACGGCTTAATTCTGTAGAAGTCTGTCCATGGTTACAGCTCAGTAACTTTCAGGTTCCTATACAAAATTCAGGGCTCTTTTTGTAGAAAAAGCCCAGCAGGAACTCATTAGCATAATAGGCCACACCCAACAACAGGAACTCATTAGCCTATTGGGCCACACCCCTGACAGCACCGCTTATTAGCACATTAGGCCGCACCCCCATGTTATCAGAAGTGTGGCCATTCAGCCACACCCACCTTTTGCTTCTTATTCTGTTTACCTTGTTTGTGGTCAAAACCCAGAGGGTTTTTTTTGTAGCAGGAACTCCTTTGCATGTTAGGCCACACACCCCTAATGTAGCCAATCCTAATGAGTTTCTGCTGTTGGGTGTGGCCTATTATGCTAATGAGTTCCTGCTGGGCGTGGCCAACTCGGGAGCCAGCCGGAACTCCGTTCCTGTGCGTTCCTGCCCAAAAACAGCCCTGCAAAATGTGTGGCAGGGCGTAAGCTTTCATGAGTCACTTCTCACTTCTTCAGAGATCTGAAGGGACTCACAAAAGCTCACACCCTGCCACAAATGTTGTTAAAGGCGCTACTGGACTCTTGCTCTTTTCTTCCGCGACAGACAGACTGACACGGCTACCCAGAGGTAGGGCCTCTGCTTGGCATGCAGCAGGTCGCAGGTTCGATCACTGGCATCTCCAGTGGAAAGGACCAGGCAGTAGGTGATGTGGAAGACCTTTCTCCGCCTGAGACCCCGGAGAGCCGCTGCCAGTCTGAGTAGACAAGACTGACCTTGATGGGCCCAGGGTCTGAGTCAGTACAAGGCAGTGTTGTGAGCTCCTGTGGTTTTGTTCCCAGCTGCACCCAGAACAAGAAAGTATCCTCCTGGTCAATTTGCCTCTAGGGTTAGAATCTACTATATAGGCCCACCTTTTTGATCAACACTGCTTTTAACTTAAGGAACATTGTATTGGGAACATTTGGCTGTACAATCTCAGGAGAATATACAGTTGACCAGAGAGAAGAACTACTGGACATGTGACTACTGGACATGTGATTGCACTGGAGGCTTCATTTGTATTGTTGTATTTCTTTTCTTTGCCCAGTGGTTAAACTTTGGAACAATTGTTTTCTGGTCTTTATTTCATATTTTGTATATGTATGATTGTATATATTTTTACATATCAGCCAACATGTTCTATTTGTATTAGACCTCTGAGGAAGGCCTGTAAAGGCCGAAATGCATTAGGTCTATTTTATTAGCCTTTGTATGTTTTTATATTTGTATATGAGGTATGAATGGGCCCTTATTTGTTATTTTAATTTGTGTTGAATAAATACATGCATATTTTTGTATGTTTCATAATTAGATTTTTAGAGTTGGCCCTCTTTTATTCTTGACTAACCTTTTTAGGTTCTGAATTCTAGGTTTTAGGTTCAGGTTTTTTTCCCTTTTCTCTTTTTTGTCCTTTCCAATTTGCCTCTAGGGACATTAACCAGATGCCGCGTGACCTTCCTCATGTTGTATCCTGACAATAAATAATTTAAGAGGTTCTGTCACAGGATCTCATCTCCCTTGTGTTCAAGTTCAAGTTAGCCTTTACTATAAAAATACTATGTCTCTAGCAAGGCTCCCTCTAAGCTGTGGAGTCTTGTGAGCAAAAATTCTACTTTGTGAGCGACTGACATTAAAGCTGTGAGCGAGCGATTTGGCTAAATCAGTTTGCTCTGGAGCCATCCTGCCTGAGCTAAGACAAAAATGTGTGAGCCAGAGGCTAAAAAACTGTGCTCTAGCTCACACTAACTCAGCTTAGAGGGAACACTCATCTCTAGGATCCTTTGGCGAAACCTCTTCCTGCTCCTCAACCAGATCTGAAAGCCCTTTGCCCCTGAAGAGTTTGTAACTGCTGAAATCCACACGGTTTCTACCTCGACAGGCCCTGCATTCCCCATTTTGGACCAGATGCCTATGCCAACGCCGTGTGCCCACGATCAGCCAGCAGGTGGCAACAGAGCGAGAATTTCACATGCGCTTTGTTTCCGTGCTACACAACTAACCTCACCGTTTGTAGGGATCCCATCTGAATCTGGTCCCAGTTGCTGTATTTCTACTTGTTTTCCAACACCCGTTCTTCCTTCCGGCTCTCTGTTTTGTTCTTCACACTTACTTGACATCCACATTTCTGTTACTCTGGTCTACATGCATCTCTCTACTTTTGCTAAAGGGCAGAAGCAAGGAGAGAAAGAGAGAGAGTAGAAAGAAAGAACATAAAGGAAGAAGCAAAAGGGATAGATTCTTTTTTTTTAAAAAGGCAAAGTTAAGCATTTAGTATTCTGAAAAGAGCATAAAGGAAAAATGTTAACGTAAAGCAAGAAGAAAGCTACCGTTTAAGGAAATGAACTTGGCACCAGTGAAGGTGACTGAATACCACAGCCTGAGGAAGGAGCTTTGCTGATGCACCTACTACGTTGATGCAATTACAGCAATAAATGCAAATGTCTATTTCAAGGTATCCCTATTCCAGCCTTTTTGAACCTGCGGGCATCTTTAGAATTCTGGCACAGTGTGGTGGGCTCAGCAACAAAATGGCTGCTGCAGGAGGCGGAGCCTACCACAAAATGGCTGTTGCAGCTTAAAAAGGTAAAGGTTTCCCTTGCTCGAAAGCCAGTCGAATCCGACTCTAGGGGGCGGTGCTCATCTCTGTTTCCAAGCCCAAGAGCCAGCGCTGTCCGAAGACGTTTCCGTGGTCATGTGGGCGGCATGGAACGCTGTTACCGTCTCACCAAAGTGGAGCCTATTTATCTCCTTGCAATTTCTTGCTTTCGAACTGCTAGGTTGGCAGGAGCTGGGGCCAGAGACGGGAGCTCACCCCGTCATGCGGTACTCAGGTCTCGAACTGCCGAACTACCGACTTTCCGGTCTGCAGCGTCAGCATCTTAAGCTCTGAGCCACCGTGGCCCCTGGTGTTGCAGCTTACCTGCAGTCATATAGGGAAGATCTTTGTGCTGTGGTGGGCAGCTGCTGCCAAAGTAATATTTTAAAAAATCTGCACAGACCATCAAATCTCCAGTGGCCAATCAGAAGCCTTGCTAGGCAAAAGCTCCCCCTGACCCCACCCACTTACAAGAAGCACTGGGCGGGCCCTAGGATAGGCATTGGTGGGCAGTGTGCCACCACGTTGGAGACCCCCAGTCTATTTTGACACATGATTTGTAATAACTGCTGTCGATCACTAGGACTTCCCGAGCAAATCTAGAGAATGAAGGTGGCAAACTCGCATGACAAAACGGACAGAGCAAATGTTTCCCCCACCCTCCACAGCAGGGCAGGTGCCCAAGAAGGAAGTGCAGAGGGAAGCCCCACAGGAAGTAAGAAAAGCCACTCCCGAAGGCAGCCACGGCTGGGACAACCGCCCAATGGAATTTGGTAATAACTCCACTGTGCAATTTCGTTTAGCAGCAACTGAAGAACGATGTACAAAGGTGGAGGAGAGCAGAGAAATTAAGCAATGTCCCACTACTAAGAACTCAATACTGCAGAAGGGAAGCAGAGAGACTTCTTTCTGCTGGCAGATCCCTCAACCTTTCGCCTCGGCCTCTTTCAGCTGCTAACACTCAAGAAGCCCGCAGGGGAGCCTGCAAACTGATTTGTGAATTCTGTCACTGTTGTTATTAACACAGAGATAATAGAATGTTAGAGTTGGAAGTAGAGATGTGAAGGCCCGGGGAAAAAAGCCTTTTTTGTTTTTTTCCGAAAAATTGGAAAAATTGAAAAAAGAAAAGAAAAAAATTGATTATGGAACGTTTTATTTTAACATGATGAATAAAATATTTTAAGACAAGGTCTTCAAATATTTTCCAGATCATTTGTAAAAAATATGTACGGTATCAGATTGATCAAATTTTTGTGCACTGAGGAAAAGCAAGTCCTAGGTTACAAACTGAACTCCCCAATGCAAGAACAAGATGCATTTCTTCCTTTAGGAGGTGCGATTGTCAGAAGAAAATAAAAAGGTTTCAGTTTTGTTTTTGCATGTGGGTGGGTATTCTGTTTGTAATAATTGTTTGGATACACTATATTTTTAATATGCTGGTTGTGATAATTTCATGCCAAGTAAAAATGTCCATAGTCATATTTTATGTTCCTAAAGTAACAGAATGACTTTCAATCTAGAAAAGACAAAACAAATGCTAATGTAGCATTTTTTCAACTGGATTTTTTCCCGAGCTTCAAAATTTCCGGAAATTTTACATCTCTAGTTGGAAGGGATCTCAGACGTCATCTAGTCCAACCCCTGCTCGGTGGAGGTCTCCGGTCTAGGTACTGATCGATACCTGCTTAGCTTCAGCAAGGATGCTATACCACAGACCCTATGCCTTACAGTGCAATCCTATAGAGCGTAATTCTGGTCTAAGCCCACCAGTCTCGGTGGGTTTATACTAGAGCTTGTTCTGCATACAATTGCACAGTTAATCACAGAAAACCAGCCAAAGGCTGCAAATTCTGCAAAAAGAAGCCATGAAAATCTGCATTAAATTGCTTCCTCTAAGATATTTTCCCCCTGGATACCTCAAACCCAAGAGGACGACTGTAGGAGAACCACGACCTTTAATAGCAGAGGCCAACAAGATTTTGGGAGTTTTCACTCTCGAAAGTTTATACCCCGTAAATGTTGTTGGTCTCTATGGGGACTTGAATCTTATTTATTTTATTTATTTATTTTCATTACATTTATACCCCACCCTTCCCGCAAGTGGGCTCTTGCTCTTCTATTGCAGACCAACACGCCTTGCCCACCTGAAATGACCTTTAAGAATTAAGACGGGCATTGCTCCAGCCCACGGCAACCAGCTGTCGCTTCCTGCCCTGTTTTACAGGAGCCGTACACCAACCAAGGCAGAAGCCAACTCAGATCAAAATAGCTCTTTGCAAAACAGCTCATTGGGTAACTAGGTTAAATCAAAACGTGTGCAACACAGCTAACTGAACGAGTGCTGCCAGAGACTTGAACCACACACAGACCACGTGCGAGAAAGAATCACTGTTTATACCTAGTGGCTAAATCGCTTAGCGCTGTTGATGCCCGATCTTATCTGATTACACGGAAACCTCCATTATGTTTAAACACAAGCTATGTAGTTAGAGGGAGCTTGTAGAACGCGCCTTTTCCTTGTTAAAGACAAAAAGAACTCCCTGCGACGCTAGAAAAAGCCGCTTCACTCCTTTTCAACCCCGTTTAGCACAGTTTAAATAATTCCAAGAAGAACCAGAGCACACTTTGCTGAAAAGCAAGCACCTATCTCACCTTATAGGTATTTCCAAGTACATTATTCAAAAGCTTATCTTTGTTAATGCAGCCAAAGTGATAAGCACCCTTTTATTTCATTAATGGTTAATGTCAGAATTTGGCTTTTCACCTGGGTAACATGCAAGCGTGAAACGACAGGCAATAATGTTACAGGTTTCCCTCCCCCACAAAAAACGGTCACGTGAAAAGCAAACGATGTCGCATTTTTGCAATAAAGGCCCTGCCCCAGCCGAGGTGGAGGGCAGCTATCGTGGATTACCTTTTGCAGCGGATTTCTGCAGAGAGAACAGAAGTCATACTGAAAGAGAGGAAGTGGCTGGAATGTTGGATACGGAACATGGAGACTTGGATTCGGGGTCCTTCCGCTCACTGAGTCACTGTCTCTCAGCCTAACCTACCTCACAAGATTGAGGCAAGGATGAATATATTTATTTCATTCATACCCCACTTTTGAGAGCCAGTTTGTTGTAGTGGTTAAGAGCACAGACTCTAATCTGGGAGAACCGGGTTTGATTTCCCACTCCTCCATGTGCAGCTGCTGGTGTGACCTTGGGTCAATCACAAGTTCTCTCAGAGCTGTTCTCTCAAGGGCAGTCCTCAAGAGAGCTCTCTCAGCCCCACCCACCTCACAGGGCGTCTGTTGTGGGGAGGGGAAAGGAGATTGTAAGCCACTCTGAGACTTCAAGTGAAAGATGCGGTATAAATCCAATCTCCTCTTCTTCTTCCTCTTCTTCTTTTCTCCCCAATGGCGACCCAAGGTGGCTCACATAATTCTCCTCCCCTCCATTTTATCCTCACAACCACCCTGTGAGGTAGGTTAGGCTGACAGTCTGTGACTGGCCCAAGGTCACCCAGTGAGCTTCCAAGGCCAAGCAGGGATTTAAGCCTGGGCCTTCCAGATCCTTATCCAACCCTTTAACCATCACGCCACACTAGCTGGCAAGGCGAAGTTCTTCCTTGAGACTTTCCATGGGCTCAACATCTCATTTAAATGTTGCTGCAAGCAATGCTCCCTCTAAGCCGTGGAGTCTTGTGAGCAAAAATTCTGCTTTGTGAGCTACTGGCATTAAAGTTGTGAGCGAGCGATCTGGCTACCGCCTGAATTAGTTTGCTCTGGAGCCCTCCTTCCTGAGCTAAGACAAAAATGTGTGATCTGGAGGCTAAAAACTGTGAGCCAGCTCACACTAACTCAGCTTAGAGGGAACACTGGCTGCAAGCTACATGAAGCAGCTACTTGGGGCAAGGGATGCTCTGTATTCTTGGTGCTCGGGGGGGGCAACAGTGGGAGGGCTTCTAGTCTCCTGGCCCCACTACTGGACCTACTGACAGCACCTGGTATTTCTGGCCACTGTGTGACACAGAGTGTTGGACTGGATGGGCCACTGGCCTGATCCAACATTGACTTCTCTT